TGCACCAGGGCACTTAGTAATCAGTGGCAGACCTAGGGAACAATCACCCCAGTAGATGTGACAAGTATCGAGAGAACACATTATATCACCCCCGTGTATACCAGCAGTCCTGCCCCCCGTATCACACTACACATAGCAGGCGCAGGATGTACACACACTGTACCTGTTGCTTTGCGTCCAGGACGGAGATGATTTTGCTGAGGAACCGCTCGTTACTTTGCAGGTTGTACTGAGAGACGCTGAACGCCGCTATTTCTTTCACCATCTTGCTGTTTTTGTTGGCAGTTTCCCACCCGCCTAGTAGCTGAGCACAGCTGAAGGAGAGGAGAGCGCACAGCAAGCCTGTGCTAAGGGCGACACGACCGGCCATGATGGTTTCTGAATCGATTCTATTCACTGAACTGGTGGAGTCGATTTAGCTGAGTGAGCTGATCCGTTTGTAGCAGCTCCGTGTGACTTGTGTGAGGTATAGCAGAGACTCTAGCTAGCAAGCTTGTAATATGATCCTAGAGTGAAAGCCAGGCTACTGCCAGCCCCTCCCAGCCCACCCCTGCAACCAATCACATCTCTGAGTCACAGTACATGGAGTCTAATCATATGAGTCGGCTGAGTCTACTAGTTAAAATAATCGAATGAGTTTACTTAGTTAGTAGACTAATTAGATTTTTTTTAACTCCGTAAACTCTTTTCGATTCTTTGGCTCTGTTCACACCTAGGCATATCAAATATGTGCGTTTGTCGCGCGTTTTGTGATGCGTTTGTCGCGCGTTTTGCCGCGATACGCGGTAAACAAAACGCGTGTTTCCGCGGGCTACTTGGCTGTATCCCAATGGAAACGCGCGACAAAAACACAGCAAAGAAGCTCGTGTACCTTTTCAGGCGTAGGCCGTTTTGTAGCGCGTTCAGACGGGCTGAAATATGGCATGGTGTGAACCATATCCCATAGAAAACAATGGGATTTTCATGTTTGAGCGTTTTGTAGAGCGTTCGTAGAGCGTTGAACGCGCTACAAAACGTACAGGTGTGAACCAGGCCTTAGAGTTAAAGAGTCCCCCACCAGTAGAACAATACACGGAATTAATTAGCAGGTTGCAGCAGGAGTTCCTTCCTCATTCAGATTGATGGTTTAACCCTTTAGGATCAAATTGGCTTCTCAAGGGGAGATAACAGATCAATGTACCCCAGGAGCTGCCTGACACCCTTCTCTGAATCAGAGTCCTCTGATTCGATCTTCTATGAAGGTTCAGACAGCTCCTGAGCTGTGAACCGAAGATTCGATTCATGAATCGGTTCTTTTAAATGAACTGATTCAAACGAATCGATTCATTTAAAAGATCCGAACTTCCCATCTCTATTCCTATGGTCTCTGCTCTGAGCTCCCTTATAAGAGGGGGAGGGGCAGCCACGTCAGGTAGAGATGGATCAGGAAGTAGATAAGTTCTTGCAGCTGCTACTGTAAACACAGACGTGTCACTTAAAGCTTTCTAAACTCCAAGTCAGATCCTTCATATAGTGCACTTTACCTTTTATGGAGTTCTATGTTTTATGTTACACCCATATTCAGGGTATAACATGAAACATGGTCACATCACAACCCCTCACTCACCTGAATCATGAGTTTCTTCTCCACAAACTACAAGTCCCATCAGCCACAGCAGCAGGGGGATTTGTAGTCCTCAAGGGAATACGTTTGTGGTAACATAACTGCACTTGTAGTCCACTGACACTTCCTTCCATCCATGTTACTGAATGTCTGTACCTCAGTAGGAACATGAACAGGAGGAAGAGTCTGCAGGAGACAGAGCATTGCACCTGTGATTCATTGGTCTTTTTTTATGAAGAAGTGTGCATTTACTATTTTTTTAATGAAGTGTGCAATTTTTCTATTTATTATTAAGAATTGAGCATTTACTATTTTTTTTTAAGAAGAAACCTGCATTTATTATTTTTTGTTAGGAACAAGTGTGCATTTATTTAAATTTTTTTAAAGTAGTATGCATTTATTATTTTTTAATGAAGACGTGTGCACTTTTTTTCTATGAAGAA